GCGCAGCCCGGCGGCACCTGCCCCGGCCGGGACCCGCGACGCCGGCGCGCGCCGCCCCCTGTGCGCTGTGTGGCGGCTTTGAAGCCCTTCCCTCGGGGCTGCTGTGCCGCGGCTTCGGGGACCCCGTGCTCTTTCCATTGTCTCCCTGAGAGGCCTTCGCCCTGAGCCGCTACCCCAGCCCTTTTTTTATTTTGGAACTGAGGCTCAGTAAGTTGCCCATGCTGGGTTTCAAGTTATGATCCTCCTGCCTTCAGCCCTCCAGAATGCTGACCTTACAGGCACGCGACCCCAGAGTCTGTGAGCAAAGAAGAATTTGTGTAGAGTTCTGACCAGAGAAAGGGAGGGGGAGGACCCCAAGCCCCTTTGGGTTTAATCTGGACGTACGTGGTTCCTGCTGAGCCCCCATCCCTGACCTCTGGGAAGGCTCAGGATGCTCTGGTGAGTCAGGGCAGAAGACGCCAGGTGTCTGTGTTGGGTTTCACCCTGCTCTGGCCGTGAGACTAGGGGGCGGGAGACCTGGCCCGTGGCACAAGACCAGGCTGGCGCGAGAAGCCAGGTCTCCTGTGCGTGCTGTTGGATTTCTGGGGGTGTTGGGGACAGCTGGCATTTAGGGGCCAGGGAGCAGCAGGACACAGGGTCTTGCCCACCCTGCGATCATCTGCTGTGCCTGTGGAGGGTGATGGTCCTCTCCAAGGCCCCAGCGTCATTTTGCTTTTCAGTCATTTGTCAGGCAGTGACTCTGGGAAGGTTGTTAAAGGGAAAAGTAGAGAGAAATGGAAGAATCCTTCATCCTGGGTCATGGGCTGCGGCTGGATTTATGTGTGTGGTGCTGAGAGCTGTGGGCTGCTGCGTGCTCCGCACTGGCGGCAGTGTCTGCAGCCCGGTGGGCCTTAATGGCATCTTAAACCTGCGGGCTGCAGGCTGAAAGGAAGATGACCTGCACTAGGGTTGCATCTGTTCTGAAAGCAGGCTCTGTTCTTCAATCTGTCAGGTTGAGGGGGGTGGACAGCCTAGGGTGAGGAGTGTGTTACTTAGTGGGCGGTTGTAGCCATTCATTGTTGCTGATTAATTCATTCATTGTCTGAGCTGACTTTGGCTGGAGACCCAAAGTTAAGGGATCTCCTAGAGTGGGATGTTGGGCCAGGGATTCAGGGGCCCTCACAGGAGTGTGCAGAGAGCACCAGGGACAGAGGAAGCGAGGGGAGCCAAAGAGACACAGAAGCCCACAGGCAGCTCAGCCTCTGAGAAGTTGAGAGAGCCACAGCACAGCCCAGATCCCGAGCCTCAGGCAGCCGCCTGTCATGCAACCACCCACGCCTCTCCCAGGGCCAGCTCAGGTGGATGGTGGCTCCAGGCACAGGTGAGGTCCAGGAGAATGCAGGGAAAGGTAATGGGAGGTTTGCACTCACTGGAGGTGGTCTAGCCCGTACCACCTGTCCACATCCCACTTTTGCAGGTGACTGGATGGCTTCTAAATGCAGCCTCTGTTCTTGGGGACCCTGGGAGAACCCACCTGCTGAGGCTGAGACGGGCCATTTCCTGAGCCCTTCTGCCCTCTATACCAACAATGTAGGTGTGGCCTGGCACGAGTGGGGTGGGGCAGAGCTGGCACAAGCTGCAGAGTGGCCAGACGCAAATGAATTGGCTGATTGAGCTGCTGGTTTTCATCTAATGTGGTAAATTTCATAATTGAATTGCCTCAGCTGCTAGAGGCGTTGAAGCATTTTCCCAGCCAGAAAACACTTACTTGGGACAAAAGGAGGGAGGGGTCAGGAAGAGGGGAACTTGTGAATCCCAGGGTGAAGAAAGTCAGCAGCTCTTGCAGCCCTCAGCCGTTCTGCTAGACCATCTCCTCCCTGAGCACCACTGTCCCTGGAGCAGTTCAGAAGGTCTCTGGAGCTGATGTGGGTTGGCTTCTAGCTGTCACCTGGCCAAACTGACTCGAGGTCCTGGGAGGCATTAGGAGCTGGAAGCATGCCATGGATTTGAGGGGTGGAGAAGGGCCCGGGCGTGGGCAGGGCTCCCTTCCTGTCCCTACAGCACTAGCTTGGGGCCCCATTGCTGCCTGTGCTCAGGGATGGAACTCAACCCCACAGTGAAGACCCTTTCTGTACAGAAGCCCCTGGAATGGTATCTGGCACCATGTGGACAAAGGTCAGGCCCACCCCTTTTCTCTTTCCCTGGTCCTCTGGGGATCGAATCTCTTGAGGGCTCACACCCCCTCCTGGATTGCCAGCCCCATCTCACTCCCACCCACTCCTCTCTATCTCTTTCTGCCAATCCTTTCCAAGCCCTGTCCTGTGCTCATAGGGCTGACAAAAGGTGGGCATGTGTGGCTTCTTGACCTGTTTTTTTTTTTTTTTTTTTCCCCCTTCTCTGTATTTAGGACAGGGTTTACAGGGTTTCACTACGTAGGTTGAGCTCATGGTGATTCTCCTGTTTTCAGCCTCCCAAGTGCTGGGATTATAGGCACCTGCCACTTTGCTACCCAATCTCAATTGCTGTCTCAGCATGCCCGTGGGCAGGGCCAGCAAGGCACATTGGGGATCGAACCCGGACACTGCACTCTGCCAAAGCAGGTGCTTTAATCTGCTGAGCTATCAAGCCATCCCTTTGACCTGTTTTTTAAAAGTGGAAACTCTGTGGTCTCAGGAAGTCACCTAACTTGGAAATTATACCATATTTTCTGCAAACATACATAAAAATCTTGCTCATCATTCCTTTTTAAAATTTTTTTTCCCTATATTTAGGATAAGATCTACAGGGCTTCACAATGTAGATTGGACTGTAGTAATTCTCCTGTTTTAAGCCTCCCAAGTGCTAGAATTACAGGTACGTACCGCCACAGCCTGTCTCAATCTTGTCTCAGTGCACCTTGCAGGCCGGGCCAACACTGCGTGATGGGGATCAAACCCAGGCTCCTGCACTCTGCCTAAGCAGGTGCTTTAGTCCACTGAGCTATCAGGCCAGCCCTGATGATCATTTCTTTTCTTTTTTCCTTTTTAATTCCTTCCTGCTGAGTAATATTCCCAGCCCATTGTATCCTTTTTTTTCTCAATGTTTTTGAGACAGGGCCTCACTAGCTTTCTAAATTTCACAGGTTTGGCTTGAATTCACAATGCTCCTATCTCTGTCTTAGAGTGCCTGGATTATGGGCTTGAGCCACCACACTCAGTGTCCCCAGCCCTTCTTTCCCCTACTGTGGTCTCCCACAACCTGAGCTGGGTACAGAGCCCGTGAGGCTAGCGTGCGCCACTATTTTCAGTGCAGCTGAGGCCTGGGGTGGAATCCACCTCTTCCTGTCCTGCAGTTGATTCCTGAGACCTGGAAGCTGCTGGCAAAAGAGAGGTAGTGGTGGGAACCCTGCATGTGCATGCCCTGCTTGGTGGGCTGGGTGGCTTGCAGACCCCTTACTCTGGGCCTTGACCTCTGCTGTTCCCAGAGTGTGCATCAGGTGTTTCACCTGAAATCCTCAGTGCCTTACCTGGGCCCTGCTGTTGTGTGCTTCCTGGGGTTAAGCAGCAGTACTCAGTGGGGGCCAGTGAGGTCAAAAGTCAGGAGTTGGATGGGCTTTAGGTCCAGCACTGTTAGTGATCCACCATTAGGAGGAGAGGGGTGCAGTAAGCTCCAGTTTCCTTTCTTATCTTGGTGAGCAGAGACTGAGGCAAATTTTCCCAGTAACTCTGGAGAGCTTTTCTCTCGCAACCTTCCTCAGTTTCCTGACCCCAGCCTCACAGTCTGGGTCCCAGGTGTGCCCAGGCTGAGGGGTGCTGAAGCCAGAGGACTGGGTCAGGGAAGTACTGGTTTGGGCCCAGGAGGAATAGACAGAGGCTCACGTGCAGTGACTCATTTCTCAAGGTGTCGTGCAGGACAGCGAGTGTGGAAGCAACCAGTAACCTACCCTTCTGGAGTGGATGGGGTGAGACTTAGCCTTTGTGATGTCCCCTGGGTGTAGAGCCAGGGCCACCACCTGGAAAAGATGGAGAAATGGACAAAGTACCCAGGAGCAAGAGGGATTATGGGAGAGGTAGAGTGAGAGCCAGGCTTTTGCAAGGAGGCTCTTGCAGGACCAGTTGGATGGGTCTGCGTGCTGTTTGGCCATGGGAGAGCCGGTAGCAGCTGCTGGCTGCCTGGCTTGCTCACCCTGACCTCATTTGCCATGGGTGTCGCCTGCCGTGTGGCCATGAGTAGGATGCACAGAGAGCAGGGAAACCAACCTCACTTTTTTTTTTTTTTTTTTTTTTTCCTATTCTTGTCAGGTCCCTAAGGGGTGTACTGACTGCTGATCAATCTAGGCTGAATGAAATTAATTTCCTAATTAAGATAAGAGAAACTTTCCTTGTCCAAAGCCCAAGATGCTCTGCAGTTGGCCAGGCCTATTTAGGCAGAAGTGAGAGTCAGGGAGCCCTCTTTCTAGAAGGCATGCTGTACACCCGGGGCCAGAGCTTTTTCTGCCTACCCTAGCTTGGCTCAGGAGACCGGGGGCAGAGTCTCCTGTGAATTCACGGCCTTGGAAATCTGAGGAAGAAAAGTATACCCTTCTGCCCCAAACATTTCTTCAGTGCCTTCCAAATGGCTTGCCTTGCACTTGACCCTGGAGAAGCCAGGCTGGATGCTAAGAGGGCCCTAATAGGGTACCATAGCACACACCTGTAATCCTAGTACCCTGGGAGGATGGCAAACTCAAGTCCAGCCTATACAACTGAAGAACCTGTTTCAGAATTAGAAAAAGGACTGGGGACATACTTCAGTGTGTAGCTCCTGGGTCCAGTCTCTAATACCAAATCACAAAAAGAGGAGCCCCACTTGGGAACACAGTGTCCGCAGGTGACACAGACGGGCAATCATGTGATCTTGGTATAGTGCTAGAGAGTGATGTGTAAAGGGGTCCACCTTAGTTTCCATGCTAAGCAATGTAAGGGGAAAGAAGTGACGCATAGTATCCTTGTTTGTCCAGACACAGATTATGGATGTATTTTGATTTTCCATAATTTGGATTCTACTCAGCCCTCTATAACTTCTTTCATGTAATATGTGAAGGACTATGTTCCATTTTCAATTAGCAATAATCGCGCCTTGGATAAATCTCATTGGCTACGATACTGCCACTGCACAAAGCTATATGTTCCATTTTCATGGCCACATAATGCTCCACACTGGCCAAATCCTCATCTTGCACCCTGTTGTCTCCTAAAGGGAGACTTTTGGATCATGATTGATTTTCCCCAAATGATCGCTGAAGTCCTGAATCATGTGTCTTTATGAACAAACATAAGTATATATTCACTGAGTCACAACCCCATCCCTCTTTTATAAAGTTTCCCGGGCTCGACTTGAACTTGTAGTCCTCGTACCTCAGCCTCCCTGCAAGCTGTGCTGTCGTTACAGGTGTACGCCACCAGGCCTGGCTCAAGTGTGATTATTGTCAGTTTTCACTGTTCAAACGAAATGCCTTTCCCAGACTTAGTTTATGCTCTCACTAATACAGCATCCAAGTGGCCATTTCTCCACATTGTTTGTTCATCTTTGATGGTACCCTCATTTTCATTTTAACCTGACAGGATGGAGAGAATCTCATTAGTCCTTTAAAAAACAAGGTG